GGGATTACAGGCATGAGCCACTGTGCCCGGCCAAAAAATACAAAATATTTAGCCAGGTGTGGTGATGCATGCCTGTGGTTCCAGCTAATTGGGAGGCTGAGATGGTACAATTGCTTAAGCCCAGGAGTTTGAGGCTGCAGTGAGCCGTAATCGTGCCACTGCACTCCAGCTTGGGCAACAGAGTGAGACCCTGTATTGAAAAACAAAACAAAACAAAACAAAAAAGCCTGTTGGGGCGAGGGGGCTGGGAACCTGCATCTGGGTTCTCAGGTTCAAAAGAAGCTGAGCTGCAGGCAATCAGTCACAGAAACCCAGCTAGGGCAGGGAATGTTCACAGCCGTACTCCCAACAGCTTCTCAGCAGAGATTTGTTGGCCAGGTGCAGTGGTTTACGCTTGTAATCCCAGCACTTTAGGAGGCCGGGGGTTATAGTGGGCGGGGGGTGGTGGATCACCTGAGGTCAGGAGTTCGAGACCAGCCTGGCCAACATGGCAAAACCCTGTCTATAATAAAAATACAAAATGGCCTGGTGCAGTGGCTCACGCATGTAACCCTTACACTTTGGGAGGCCAAGGCGGGTGAATCACCTGAGGTCAGGAGCTCAAGACTGGCCTGGCCAACATGGTGAAATCCTGTCTTTACTAAAAATACAAAAATTTAGCCCATGTTGTGCTGGGCACCTGTAGTCCCAGCTACTTGGGAGGCTGAGGCAGGAGAATTGCTTGAACCTGAGGCAGAGGTTGCAGTGACCCAAGATTGTACCACTGCACTCCAGCCTGGGAGACAAGAGCAAAACTCCATCTCAAAAAAAAAATTAGCTGCCTATAATTGGGAGGCTGAGGCAGGAGAATCGCTTGAATCTGGGAGGTGGAGGTTGCAGTGAGCTGAGATCATGCCATTGCACACCAGCCTTGGCAACAAGAGCAAAACTCGGTCTAAATAAATAAATAAATAAATAAAGCTGGGTACAGTGGCTCACACTTGTAACCCCAGCACTTTGGGAGGCCAAGGCGGGCAGATCATAAGGTCAGGAGTTCGAGACCAGCCTGTCCAATATGGTAAAACCCCATTTCTACTAAAAAATATGAATATTAGCCAGACGTGGTGGTGCACTCCTGTAGTCCCAGCTACTCAGGAGGTTGAGGCAGGAGAATTGCCTGAACCCAGGAGGTGGAGGTTTTGGTGAGCTGAGATCGCGCCATTGCACTCTAGCCTGGGTAACAAGAGCGAAACTCCATCTCAAAAAAAATAATAAAAATAAAAATAAAAATAAAAAAATAAAAAATAAAATAAAAATACAAAAAATTAGCCGGGCATAGTGGCAGGCACCTGTAATCTCAGCTACTCAGGAGGCTGAAGCAGGAGAATCATTTGAACCCAGCAAGCAGAGGTTGCAGTGAGCCAAGATTACTCCACTGCACTCCAGCCTGGGCAACAAGAGTGAAACTCCATCTCAAAAAGTAAAAATAAAAAAATGGAGATTTGCTGACTGTGAGGAGTAGGGCATGTTGGGGAAGGGTAGGGATCTGCCCTGGTCCCTGCCCCTTGCTCCTCTCCGCTTGGCCTCTGCACAGGGTAGCTGCCAAGGTGGCAAATGCCCAGCCCCTTGCTCACTCCAGGGGCCTGTCCAGGCTCTTGGGCACTTCCTGAGCAGCAGGACACATTCTGCCCTTTGCGGCCCTGAGAGGAAGCAGCTTATCAGAAGGGTAAAGACACTCTGTTCAGGCCTGGCCATCTGCCTGGGCTAGAGGAGCCATGTCTAGGAGCTGGTAAAGCAGAGCAGGCCTGGGTGGAAGGACCTGGGGACGGCAGATGATTGAGGCTTCATGCCCAGGCCAGGCCAGGACCCCAGCCTCTCCCAGGGTCCACTCAGCCCCTGCACTGCTGTCTGCCATCCTATCTTCTCTTCATTTCCTTCCTACTTCTCTGACTCCTGGTAGTTTTTCACTCATACCTTTCATTCAAGCAATACTTAAGGAATATTTTATGTTTGATTTTTGTTTGAGACAGGGCCTTGCTATATTGCCCAGGCTGGTCTTGAACTCCTGATCTCAAGCGATCCTCTGGCCTCAGCCTTCCAAACAGCTGGGACTACCCGTGCGAGCTCCCGTGCCTAGCTTTAGTCAAGGAATACCTTATATATGCTAGGCAGCTGGGCTCACAGCAGCAAACAAAACAGGCAACAATGCCTGCCCTCATGAAACTTACATTCCAGTTAAGAGAGACAGTCAACAAGCACATAAACAAATTAAATATATGATATGTTACATGATGAAAGTGATCTGAGGGAAGATAAAGCAGGGCAAAATAGGCCAGGCCTGGTGGCTCATACCTGGAATCCCAGCACTTTGGGGGGCTGAGGTGGGCAAATCACTTGAGGCCAGGAGTTCGAGACCAGCCTGCTTAACATGGAGACCAGCCTGGCCAACGTGGCGAAACCCCATCTCTACTAAAAGTAACAAAAATTAGCCATTGAAAAATTTAAAAATCACCTTGTTGCCCAGGCTGGTCTCAAACTCCTGGGCTCAAGTGATACACCCACCTTGGCCTCCCGAGGTGCTGGGATTGGTTGCCAGAGTGAGCCACAGCACCCATTGCCTTTTTTTTTTTTTTAAACATTGTGTGGTTTAGACATACTCCTTTAGTTGCACACATTTCTGCAAAAAAATAAAAATTAAAAAGAAATACCCCTTTAGAAGGTGACCGCTGAGCAGAGACCTCAGGACATGAGGTAATGAGTCACATAGACTCCCAGAGGCAGGGCCTCCAAGGCAGAGGGAACAGTGAGGGCACAGGCCCTGAGGCAGGGTAAGCTGGGTGTGGGCAAGGAACAGCAGAGAACCCAGGTGCGGCTGAGCACGACGACTCATCTCATGCCTGTAATCCCAGCACTTTGGGAGGCTGAGGCAGTCAGATGACCTGTGGTCAGGAGTTCAAGACCAGCCTGAGCAATATGGTGAACTCCCATCTCTAGTAAAAATACAAAAATTAGCTGGGCGTGGTAGCACATGCCTATAATCCCAGCATTTTGGAAGGCTGAAGCAGCAGGATCACCTGAGGTCGGGAGTTTGAGACCAGCCTGACCAACATGGAGAAACCTCATCTCTACTAAAACAAAAACATACCCGGGCGTGGTGGCTGATGCTTGTAATCCCAGCTAACAAGAGGCTGAGGCAGGAGAATTGCTTGAACACAGGGTGGTGGTGGTGGGGGGTGGTTTCTCACCCTCAGCATTGTTGACACTTAAGGCCAGATCACTCCTTGTTATTCGGGCTGTCCCGAGGATACTAAGCAGCATCCCTGGCCTCTACCCACTCAATGCCAGTAGCACTCTCCAAGTTGTGACACTGGTGTGTCTCCAGGCAATGCTCAATGCTTGGGGGGGGGGTGGCAAAATTGCCCCCAGTTGAGAACCACTTCCCTGTTTTCCTGTCCACCCCACCTGCCACTGTCCCTGCTCACTGCAACCACTGTGACAGCCTCCACATTAGCCCCCTGGCCCTTCACCAGACATCTTACCAGGCCACTCTCCCAGGTCTCAAGCCCTCTCTGGCTCCCATTGCTCTGAGGATGAATGCCAAGCTGCTTAGGTTGGCATGTAAGGCTCTATGTAGTCTAACACCTGCCTGCCTCTGCAGCTCTCACCCACCCCTATCCTCAAGCCTCCTGCTGCACGCCACCCTCTGCTCATTCAGGCTACTGTCATATATTGAACCTGACACCATGCTGGACACTGCAGACATGGAGACAAAGCTCCCCTGAAACCTCTGCCCGCACCCCCAGGGCCTGCCTTCATGCTGCATCTCCCGTGGCAAGAGCAAGTAATCACATGCAGTGAATCCTGTTAGCCCTAAAACCAAGCAGCTGTGAGGAAACCAGGGCTGGAGCAGGTGCTGTGGCTGAGAGGTACAGGGTGGGCAGGGGTTACAGAGAGGAAGCAAGGAAGAGAGCACCCTGGCAGTGGTGGGGCAGATGCCTTGAGAGGATGGAAGGCCAGGGCAGTGATTTAGGGCTCCAGCAAAGGCAGAGTGGGGGTATGGACAGGGATGGATGGTGGGGAGAAAATGAGCTAAACATAAACAGGTGGGTCGGGTACGAGGACTCATGCCTGCAATCCCAGCACTGTGGGAGGCCGAGGTGGGCGGATCACCTGAGTCAGATGTTCGAGACCAGCCTAGTCAACACGGTGACACCCCTTCTCTACTAAAAGTACCAAAATTGGCCGGGCGTGGTGGCTAATACCTGTAATCCCAGCACTGTGGGAGGCCGAGGTGGGCAGATCACCTGAGTCAGATGTTCGAGACCACAGTAGCCAACATGGAACCCCGTCTCTACTAAAAATACAAAAATTAGCCGGGCATGGTGGCACAGGCCTGTAGTCCCAGCTACTCGGGAGGCTGAGGCGGAAGAATTGCTTGAACCCGGGAGGCAGAGGTTGCAGTGAGCCCAGATTACACCACTGTGCTCCACCCTGGGGACAGAGCAAGACTCCGTCTCAAAAAAAAAAAAAAAAAAAAAAAAAACGATTACCAGGGGTGGTGGCACATTCCTATAATCCCAGCTACTCAGGAGGCTGAGGCAGGAGAATCGCTTGAACCGGGGAGGCAGAGGTTGCAGTGAGCTGTGATCACACCACTGCACTCCAGCCTGGGCAACAGAGCGGGACTCCATTTCAAAAAATAATAATAAAATAAAATAAAGGATGGACTAAACAAAAAGGCCCAGGACAAGAGAGGAGTCCAGTGGTTCCTACTTAGTCAGGAAAATGGACAGTGGGGTCATGGTGCAGACTGGACACTTCCCCATCACAGAGGGTTCGCCTGGCAGGCATGCCCTCCCCTTATTCACCTGTCAACTTCCTCCTCCTGCTGCAATCCCAAATCACAAATGGTGCCTCCTCCTGGAAGCCTTCTGGATTCCTCTCTGCTGTCGCCGTTTGCTCCCTTCTCTGCGCTCTGCAAACTACTACAGCAACATCATCATCTGGTTCTTATTGCGCAGGTCTGTTCCGGCTCTCCCAGCTCTCCCACCACTGACTGCGAGTTTCTGAAGCCCTGGGAGCTGCCTTCAGTAGAGGAGGCTCAGCCGCTGTGGGTCGATCTCTGAAGGCCAGGCCAGAAGGAGAGAAAATGTGGCACGGCTTGGCAGTTCCCAGGTGCGCATGCTCCGCAGGAGCTGGTGGTAGCCAGGCAGTCTTGGCCGAGACTTATTTGCTGAGCTTGGGTGCGCACAGGCCCTGCGATGTCAACCTCCTGGTCCCGCCCTCCCGCCGCAGGGCCGCTCACAAGCCTTAGACTCTTCCCGGACTCCAGACCCCAGACAGCTCCGCTCCACCCTGCGGATGACGGAGAGAAAGTTCCTTACAAGACCCTCACTTGGGGCAAGGTAGGAGGTACCAACTGGGGCGGGGCCTGGCTCCCCACTGAGCAGAGGTGTTGGCCAAGGCCCTCCCCCTAGTGGTAAGTACTCCCTTGGTTCGCCCTCCTAGCCGCTGCCAGACGACCCCGCCCCACGTCGGAAGCAACCTCGGAAACCTGCCTACCTGTTTCATGCCCGCCCCCTACAGCCTTTCCTCTCTGCAGCCCAGGGAGCTTTAAAAATGCAAACCACAGGCGGGCACGGTGGCTCACACCTGTAATCCCAGCACTTTGGGAGGCCGAGGCGGGTGGATCACGAGGTCAAGAGATCGAAGAGATCGAGACCATCCTGGTCAACATGATGAAACCTCGTCTCTACTAAAAATACAAAAAATTAGCTGGGCATGGTGAATATTAACTGGGCATGGTGGCACGTGCCTGTAATCCCAGCTACTCGTGAGACTGAGGCAGGAGAATTGCCTGAACCCAGGAGGCAGAGGTTAACGATGAGCCGAGATCGCACCACTGCACTCCAGCCTGGGTAACAAGAGCGAAACTCGGTCTCAAAAAAAAAAAAAAAGACGAAATGTGTACTTGTAGTTTTTGGAGCAGATTCCTCCCCAACAAAGGAACAGGGCAGCTGGGAAGATATAAGAACTTGTGCCGCACCTCTTGCCTTCCAGTGACATATTTTGATTGGCAAAAGGGTTTGTTTTTGTTCATTTTTACCTGATACTCCTATAGCCACAATAGTAGTAGTGTAAGACAGTGACCCACCAGTTTGGATCATATGCCACCACTAGGTATTGCATGGGGGTAAACCGCATGATCTTTATAGACCGTTCTCCAGTCTGGGCCAGGTTTTAGACTCTGGTTTAGCTCTATCTTTTTCTTGCTCTCTTGCACGTCCTCCTCCATCCTTTCATTATCCCCGCTTTTCTTTCGACTAAGGCAGGTGCTAGTAAATCTGCCTTTTCCTTTGCCTCACGCCTTGCCCTTCTCTTAGCCCTGGTCCTGTGCAGGGAGGGCACAAAGCAGCAGAGTGTCTGCAACCCACCTGCCACCTTTCCAATGCTACTACAAGATTTGCAAGAAGCAAGAAATGGTCATTTATCAGAATGATACATTTATTTTTATATTTTTTAATATAAAGTGCTGCAGGCTCCGACGTTGCTCCTGGGCGTCTCAGGTTTCAATTTTCCTGGACCTCAGGGCCTTCGTCCTCTCCAATCTAAATGCAGAGACATTTGACATGAACATGTTTTGCAAAATGCGATACGTTCTTATTGACTCTGGTCACCCTGCTGTGCACTAGAGTCAAAACCTCTTCCTCCTGTCTAGACTTTGGTCCTTTGACCAATACCCCGCATTCCCTCCCTCTGCCACTCTCCGGCCCCGGATCACCATCCATCTACTGGCTACTTCAATGGGGTCAACTTGTTTAGATCAACACTTCCGGGGCATCACGTGGAATCGGTCTCTCTGAGGTGGTGGAGATGCCGAGTAGTGGGATTTCCTCATTCCACAGTGCACACATCTATCTAATCCTCACACTGCACCCCATGAATGTACAGGCATGATTTGCCAATTAAAACAATACTAATAAAGACAGAATAAATATAGTAAAATGCAAGAAGTGCAGCTTACTTTTTCTCTTGGGTGGGCCCTCTTACTCTGCCTCTTGGGTAGGCCCAGGCAGCAGCAGCATCTCCTTATTATGGCAATGCACCTTCGGGCAGCCCTGCGGCAGCTCCAGCCTCTTGTTGGCCGGGCCAACACAGCCTCGGGCTGCCCAGCTTGGAGGACGCTGCCTTCGTGTCCTGGTTGTTGAGACACGGTGCTCTGGGTGGTGATCTGGGTGGAGGCGGCCGTGAGGTTATGCGGGAGGGCTGGTTGAGCCAAAGTTTCTAAATTTTCGCTGCCGGTGGAGCACTTGGTGGAGGCTGCAGACACGAGGTCACGCTGGGGGGCTTGCTCTGCCAAGGTTTCTAAAGCACCACCACCGCCTATGGCGCTTACGATGGAGGAGGCCACACGGTCACGCTGGAGGGCTTGCTGGGCCAAGTTTTCTAAATCTCCACAATTGCGCTGGATGGTCAGGGAGGCCATGGGGGCATGCTGGGGGTCTGACTTCCTGTGAAGGCCGGCAGGTGAACTGGAAATCTCAGTGACTAAACATGTAGGATCCCCAGGAGCAAGAGACTGTGGAGTGGTAATGGATGGCTTTTTTTCTCCATCTAAAATACGGTAGGTGGCCATGGGATAATTAAAGACGTTGTCTTCGATTGCCTGTACGATGTTTTCTGGCTTCAATCCCATGGCCACCAAGAGCCTTATGGTCTCACAGTTCGGGTGGTCTTCAATCGGCTGTTCATACGTCGCTGGAGGCAAGTCCTGGCCATTGTTCACCCACGGGTCCCTCAAGACTTTGTCTACTGTCGGCCGCTCATTGGGATTAGATATTAAAAGGTTTTTAATTAGGCTTTTTAGGCCTTCTGAAAAATAGTGCCGAATAACATACTGGCCAGATAGAATGAGGGATATCAGTTGGAAACGACTCACTGCGAAGAAGGGCAGACTGTTGGACACCATCTGGTATAACGTGACGCCTAGGCTCCATATGTCCATGGCGGGACATTCATAGCCCTGGGCCCCAAAGAGTTCTGGGGCCATGTAGGGGAGGGTCCCATGACCTGCTCTCAGCCTCTGCCCCTCATGGTAAATCGTGGCTGATCCAAAATCGGAAATTTTTATATGTCCTTTACCGTCTAACAGCATGTTGTCAGGTTTAAGATCTCGGTGAGCGATTCTTCGGTAGTGGAGGTAGCTCACGGCGGACAGCATTTGTTGGAACATGCCTCGGGCCTCCTCCTCCTCCATGATGTTTTTTTCGAGCCAGTCGGCCAGGCTTCCTCCTTCTGCGTATTCTAATACCAGCTGGCACGCCTCTCTGGTATTAATGATCTGGTAAAGCCGAATGATGTTACTGTGGCTCACCGACTTTAAAATAGTCGTCTCTCTGTGGCTAGAGAGGAAGCCGGTTTTGTTGATTGTTTTCACCGCCACCCGGGTGCCAGTTATTAAATGCCGGGCCAGCGTGACCTCGCCAAAGGCACCACGGCCTATGAATTTCAGTATTTGATAGTAAGGTGGCCGCAGGGCAGGTGAGGTGGAGGCCACTCCCTGCTTCATGGTATCTCTAGACACACTATCCAAGTAACTACTCTAACTCTACAGTAAACAACACTACTTACTATCCCAAATACACTAAAACACTAAGCAATACTAACTATATTAACTATGCTAACAACGCTACCCAGAAAAAACAACGCCCCTCCCACAAAAACTCCCCCCACCACCCCAAACAACTCGTAATCGCTAAGCTGGTCTGAGTCCACAGGTCACCAAAAAAGCTTCCAGGGATTTCTCAGACCAAAAACCATGACCCAGCCAGGGCCTTATATAGGCCTGTCTGTTATGACATCACAAAGGCTTTTCATGAGCTCAGAGCAAAGCAGGGGCCAATCATGGCTGGGGATCTTTCACAGAGGTGTTCTCTCTTTTGGTCCTCAAAACATCTTCCTCTTTTAAAAAGTAAGTGCTTTTGTCTAGATGGATTATAGAGATTGATATTTCATTTCCCAGCTATTTAAACTGGTACAACGCTTCAACAGCATTTTCATTTGTAGTTTCTTTTTCTATATTTATTGTACTCTTAAGTTCTGGGGTACATGTGTAGATTGTGCAGGTTTGTTACATAGGTTTAACGTGCCATGGTGGTTTTCAATCATTTGTAATTTCAAAATCTGAAATAGCTTTTGGATTTTGAAGATCTCCTCATGTCTACATGCAAAATATTCAATTCCTTTTCTTTCATCTCTCAATGGTTGATGTCAACCATTGAGAAGGGAGAGAATATTTTCCTTTCCTTGTAGGGTTTTTCCTTCCTCATGTGGTTGAGATTATGTAATGGACACAGAGGAAACAGACATACCCTACCCTCCATGAGCCCATAGCCTCTTCAGGAAGGCCCCCCAGCCAAGAAGCTCCTTCAGCGTGAGAAGCACCAGGTGAAGTGGGGGCCAGAGAAGAGTGGCCTGGGCCTCAGGTGAACGCTGGTGAGGGAAGAAGTGGGGCTCTCTGGAGGCCAGTGTGCTGAGCCCTGCGGTGTGAGGAGGGGTCGCCTAAGTGAGTAGGGACAAGGGCAGGAGGGTAGCCTCTGTGAAGGCCCAGGATGATCGAGGGTGGCTCTCTGGAGGGATGCACTCGTCTGAACGAGTGACAGGGGCCAGGTTGGGAGGGATTGAGTCCCGCTGCTCACAGCACCCCCCCAACCAGTCTACATCTCTGCAGCTCTCTCACCACCCTCCCTACTTCATTGATCTCCATTGCACTTAGCAACATCTGACATTTGCATATTTCACTTGCATATTTCTTTGTCAGACTCTTGCATATAAACTTCACGAAAGCAAGTGTTTTACATGTTTTATTTACAGTGGTGTCCACAGTACCTAGGACAATGGATAGATACATAGAGGACACTCGACTAATATTTCAATGAATAAATGAATGTTTGAATGAGAAGAAAACTCAGTATCAGAGTGAAACAAACAAGAAATTACTAAAGTGAATTGATTAGAGCTTTTTGGGGGAAATCTCCTCGTTCCCAGGACGTGGCGTGTGCACATACACACAGCCAAGTAAATGCTATGGTGAAATTAGACTTACTTTCTTACATCTTCAGGCTGTCTCATATTGAGACTCTAGGTTTTTAGCAATAAACTTGCTGATGCAGCTGAGTTATAATATGGCAGAATGGATTTGGGCACTAGTGTTATGCTTGAAATGTAACAATGCGGTTGGTTTCTAAAGGAGTAGTTGGTGACATGGTGAAATCACTGGTTGCCCTAATAGGATAAGGCCAGCAGCCCCTGTGATCTAGCCATGTTGTTAAGGATAAGGATTCCACCCAGCTGTTTTCTTTAGGGAGCTGCCCTGGCTATCGCCCTATAAGAGCCTAAAGAAACAGTACAAGCAGCCACCATTGCACCAGCCAGGACTGCTCCTGGAAATGCCATCTCCCACTGGGCAATAAAGGACTCCACTTTTCTCAGGATCTGCCTGTGCCCAACCCTTATCTAGAACAGAAAAAAACCATAACCCATAATTTCCCCCGAGGATTCCAACACCTCCCCACTCACTCCCCTATGAGTCTCAGGAAGACAGGTTTGTTTTCCTGTGAGAATCCGTGTCTCTTTGCAAAAGGTCTGTTTTCCCAAAAGAAAAGGAATTTGCTTCAGTTCTGCTTCTGGAACGAGAAAGCCAGGTCTTCACCAAACTCATGTACAAAGGGATAAAGTCACAGTTGCCATGACCTCACACTAACATCAACAGATACTTACTGGGTGTAGGACATTGTGCTAGCTGCTGTGAGGGAAGAAGAATGGATATCTTTCCAAAGATCTTAAAAGATACAGACTCATTTTCCATTAAAAACTAATTACTTGGCCAAGCATGGTGGTTCATGCCTGTAATCCCAGCACTTTGAGAGGCCGAGACAGGAAGATCCCTTGAGCCCAGTTCAAGACCAGCCTGGGCAACATGGTGAAACCCCATCTTTACAAAAAATACAAAATTTAGCCAGACTTGGTGACTTGTGCCTGTGGTCCCAGCTACTCCAGATGCTGGGATGGATGGATCACTTGATCCAGGGAGCTAGAGGTTGTAGTGAGCTGAGATTGTGCCACTGCACTCTATCCTGGATGACAGAACAAGGCCCTATCTCAAAAAACAAAATATACTAAGCACTGAGCTCTGTGAGGTCGTCAGTATCATCAAGAGGCTTAGCTTTGTATGAGCTCCATTCTGAGAACCTGGGAGGGTTGAGTCTGTGCCAATATCCTGCTGTGCTGCGGGATGGAGCCAAGCCTTGACCTTTTGGGTTGCCACCAGAATAAAGCTGCAGATAGAAAATGTGGGGGGGAGAGTGGAAGAAGGAATCTCAGAGGGGAAGAAAGGACCTCCAGCTTCAAATTGAGACAATTTTACAAGAAACGTAATGGAGGCTATGCACCACATTCAGGTGTATTCCAGATCAGGGGTTGGCAAACCGTGACCCACCCCAGCTTTTGTATGTACCGTTTGATGGGAAGGCAGCCACAATTCATTTTTTTCTTGTTATCTATGATGCTTTTGTGCTTCAGAAGTAGAGCTGAGCAGTTATGATACATACCGTACGGCCCAAAAGTTAAAACTATTTACTATCTGGTCCTTTACAGAAAACGTTTACCAACCTTTGGTTTCGAACATGAACAAGAGTTCTGCCAGTCTGACGTGTACTTTTGATCAGACGAGTAAGGTTACTCCAGGGATTTCCAGCTGTTTCCTTCCTACCTATTTCCCCTCTTTGAAATTGCCTGTAATTCCCCCAGCTCCACTCTCCTGTAACATTAGGCCGAGAGATGGAAGGCTGTGTGCACTTGGAGCTACACACATCTGTGCAGTGGGTTACATGAAGGGGAGATTAACACCAGCTTCCTTTTTTAAGACAGGGTCTTGCTCTGTCACCCAGGCTGGAGTGCAACGGCATAATCATGGCTCATTGTAGCCTCAAACTCCTGGGCTCAAGCAATCCTCCCACCTCAATCTTCCGAGCAGCTAGGACTACAGGCATGCACCACCATACTGGGATAATTTTTAAATTTTTTTCTAGAGACAAGGTCTCACTGTGTTGCTCAGGCTGGTCTGGAACTCCTGAGCTCAAACAATCCTTCTGCCTTGGCCTCCCAAAGTGCAGGTATACAGGTATGGGCCACCGTGCCTGGCCAACACCAGCTTCTTTAGAAATGAAAGACCATGTGAATACATGTTAAGAAAAGCAGTTTCCTGTTTTCTTCTGTAAACATTGAGAATTTATTTTATTTTTCCTCCAATGGCCTGTGTGTTTGATCAATAATCACAGTAATTTTCATAACATTGTATGGTTTGGCATGACATAAGTAAAAATAAACCCAGAAGCCATCATTCTCAGCAAACTAACACAGGCACAGAAAACCAAACACCGTATGTTCTCACTTAGAAGTGGAAGTTGAACGAAGAGAACACATGGACACAGAGAGGGGACCAACACACACCGGGGCCTGTCGGAGGTAGGGGGCGAGGGGAGGGAGAGCATTGGGACAAATAGTATTGTAACCGAGGTTTAAAACCTAGATGATGGGTTGACAGGTACACCATACCACCACGGCACACATGTATCTATGTAACAAACCTACACATTCTGCACTTGTATTCCAGAACTTAAAAATAGCTAACATGTATTGAGCTCTTACTAAATGTCAGTCCCCATTCTAAGAGTTTTATGTGAGCTGTCCTATTGAATCCTCATTATTGCCGCAAGAGATAAGGACTCTCATCACCGTCATTTTACAGATGAGCAAACTGGGGAGGAGAGGGGTTAAGTAATTTGCCCATGGTCACACACACAGTAAGTAGAGAAGCAGGGTTTCAAACCACTCCTGCGCCATGACCTTGGCCACTACATTCTGTACCGCTTGCCTCAAGAAATGTGAAAATAAACAACTAAAAAATCTAATTGGGAAGTAAATTCTCATCAGACATGCAACATTTAAGTATTTGTCAAGTGCTAATACCAAATGCTAATACGGAAGGACAATGTTAATTTTTATCTACACTGATCTATGATTTTTCAGATAAATATCTTGAAACTAAATTTTTAAAACCTGTGACTTTTAGTAATTTCTATTCTCTTCTGGGTCTTTATTGGACTTTGATTTCTTTCTTTCTTTTTTATTGGGAAGCGTTTCTAAGTCATTCTTATCAAACTCAACTATATAAGATTATCATAAACTAGTGATTTTCTTCTCATTACATCTGAAACGCAGACAGTGAGAAGAAGCAAGACCACTACAATCTTTGTTTTTATATTTTATTTAACTATATTTGCCAAGATACTTGCAAAGCCTGTGGAGGTCTAGGAACAGCATCTCCAGTCAACAATGTTTCCTTTCTTGCGCTTCAATCTCTAGTGATTGATCAGGGGCCTCCAAGTAGCAAGTTCTTCTTTGTTTGGGGAAGGGATCAGTGAACAATGTAACTTATTCCTGACATTTCAGTTAACAACTTTGAAAGAAAAGGTTTTTAAAATCCAATGAAACTCCTAAAAAATAATTGACTTTGCTTCTGCCCCCATGTTCTCCTCCAAAGAATCACACCTGAAAGTTTCCAATGATTCCACCAGCGAATTTCCCTCCTGTTTTAATTAACATTGTAGGGTGGAGGTCCTATATGCTGGAGACTTTTATATCTGTGTTTGATGTTACAACAAATAGAATTTGAAAAAAATATATATATATTTTTTGAGACAGAGTCTTGCTCTGTCGCCAGGCTGGAGCACAGTGGCACAGTCTTGGCTCACTGCAACCTCCGCTTCCTGGGTTCAAGCAATTCTTCTGCCTCAGCCTCTCAAGTAGCGGGGACTACAGGCGGGTGCCAAATGCCTGGCTAATTTTTGTATTTTTAGTAGAGCTAGGGCTTCTCCATGTTGACCAGGCTGGTCTTGAACTCCTGACCTCAGGTGATCCATCTGCTTTGGCCTCCCAAAGTGCTGGGATTACAGGCATGAGCCACTTTGCCCAGCCAGATTCAATGCACTCTCTATTAAAATACCACTGGCATTCTTCATGCAAATAGCAAAAAATGACCGGGTGCATGGTGGCTCATGTCTGTAATCCCGGCACTTTGGGAGGCCGAGGTGGATGGATCACTTGAGGTCAGGAGTTCAAGAGCAGCCTGGCCAACATGGTGAAACCCTGTCTCTACTAAAAATACAGAAATTAGCCAGGCATGATGGCGTGCCTGCTTGTAGTCCCAGCTACTTGGGAGGCTGAGGTGGGAGAATCACTTGAACCCAGGAGGTGGAGGTTGCAGTGAGCTGAGATTGTGCCACTGCACTCCAGCCTGGGCAACAGGGTGAGACTCCAGTCCCCCCCCGACCAACCCCCCCGTCAAAGAAAAAAGAGAAAGATATATTGTTCAGCATGGTGACTATAATTAATGAAGAAATATATTGAAAAATACAGACTAGTTCGAAGGTAGTGAGTTATCGCAACTGGTTGTTGAGTCAATTGTGGATTGAACTTTTTGTTCTACTCTTTCCCTGCTTCTTACTGCTGCATTTGACTAGTCTTAAAGAGAAGGAAAAAGGAAAAATAAAGAAAAATACATAGAGGACATTCAGTGTTTCCACTACAAAAATGAAAAATAAACTGTGAAGTAGTGCTTTTGATGATTCGCCAATGAACATATACTTGAAATGTTATGTTTCAAAAAAAAAAAACAAAAAAGAAATGTTGTACATGATAAATACATGCAGTTTTTTTCTGTCAGTTTGAGACATTTAGAAATTAAAGAATAGATAATGTGAGACACAAGCTATTTATGTAGGTAGTTTAAAATTTTTTAGTAGCCAAATTAAAGAAACAACTCAGGAGACTGGTGAAATTAGTAATGTTTCTTTTTTTTTTTTTGAGACGGAGTTTCGCTCTTATTACCCAGGCTGGAGTGCAATGGCGCAATCTCGGCTCACCACAACCTCTGCCTCCTGGATTCAGGGAATTCTCCTGCCTCAGCCTCCCCAGTAGCTGGGATTACAGGCGCGCACCACCATGCCCAGGTAATTTTTTGCACTTTTAGTAGAGACGGGGTTTCACCATGTTGATTAGGATGGTCTCGATTTCTTGACCTAGTGATCTACCCGCCTCGGCCTCCCAAAGTGCTGGGATTACAGGCGTGAGCCACCGCGCCCAGCCCAATAATGTTTCTTACTTAACCTAATATCTGTGATGGACTGAATTTGCGTTCTTTTCCGTTGCCAAATTCATATGTTGAAACCCTCACTCCCAATGCGATAGTTTTAGGATGTGGGTCTTTAGAGAGGTGATTAGGATTAGGTGAGGTCATCAGGGTAGAGTCCTCATGAATGGAATTGGTAACCTTACAAGAGTCACGAGGGAGCTTGATTCCTCTCTCTGCCCTCTCCCATGTGAAGATATGACTTCTGGGCAGTGTGCAGCCCAGAAGAGGGTCCTCACCAGAACCCAACCATGCTGACATCTTGATCTTGGACTTCTGGCTTCTGGAACTGTGAGAAATAACTGTGCGTTATGATAAACTACACACAAAAGGTGAACAGAAAACCTGTCTGTGATGACGAGTACTTGGGATGCTCCCCCTCCTTGCTATCAGGCTCAGCCAGGATGGTCTTTATGTGAAGAGGAACGTCTGAGAGATGAGGGAAAGGTTGGGAGACAGGGGAGGGCAGCGAGGTGAGAAGGGCCAGCCTTGGGCAGGGAGGGTGAGGGCAACATGGGAGAGAGAGGAGAGGTGGGTGGGGAGGTGGTGAAAGGGGTGCGACCTTGATGGACGGGATACAAAAATGAGGAACGTAGGAAGCTCTGTGCTGCCCTGGCGATGCCAGGCCTTCTGCCTCCTCCTCACAGACATGACCTCCAGGGGGCTCTGGAGCCAGACAGCCTGAGTGTGAGCTGTGACTCACCACTGATGGCTGTGTAACCATGGGCAAGTTCCTTTACTTCTCTGTGCCACTGTTTCCCCAGCTTTACAACAAGAGTAACTAGAGTAGCTACAACAAGGGTTGTAGTGTGGCTCAAATAAGTGATCAGGACAAGTGCTTAAAACAGTGCCTGCTACTTGGCAAGCATTTAAGAAGGGTGTCTGATGTGACTATTTTTTATTTTTATTTTTTAAAACAGAGTCTTTCCCTGTTTCCCCTTCCCCAGCTGGGAGCACCACCACGCTGGAACTAGCTCCCTCCCAATGCTTGGAGATGGGTGGGATGGACTCCCAGGTCTCCAAGGGAGGGACAGTCCCGGGGCATCACCCTGGGGTCAGGGAAGGCAGGTAGGAGTTCAGGGGCTCAGGGTGAGGAGGTGCAAGGGCCAAGATATTCAAAATATTTAACAACTGCTTCAATACAGGTCCTGACTTTGTCACTGGAGAATGTCTTGGGGGCCTCCCATGGTACCAGGAGTCATTCCCATTGTTGCTAGAGTGGGCCAAATTTGGGAGGATCCCAGAGAAGAGCTAGGGGGCTAGGGCCTCAAGGAGGTGACAGTTACCAACAGGTGCAGGAATAGTTCAGTATTCTTACAACCAGCAGACTTTTGACCCAGGCAAGGGAGGAGGGAGGGGCAGGCACTGGCCGCGGAGGGCGTTCGGGCCCACCTGGGCTCCCGGTTCTTGCGCACAAGGCTGACAAAGGTCTCCACCTCAGTCTTGGTGATGTGCTTCTCCAGGAGCTTGGGGATGTTGTGCAGCAGGGCAGTGATGGTGTCCTCCGCCAGGATGTCGTAGCCAATCTGGGACTGCATCATCCCAAACTGCTTGGCGATGTGCTCCTGGGGGGCAGACAGGCTGGTGGTCATAGAGAGTCACGGGCGGAGCTCGGGGCCCAGCTCTGCTCTGGAACACTGCCCCCAGACCCCGAGGTAGGGACCCAACACGCTAGAAAGGCAGAGGTCCAGGAGAGGAAGCAGCACTGGGCAGAAAAGTGGCTTAGACACATAGTTATTTCGCTTATGGGCTGTTTCCCACCAGGGCGAAACCTCCGCAAGGACAGGGTCCTTATCTGTCTGGAAGGATTGGCGACATAACTTGTAGGGCCCAGTGCAAAAGGAAAGAGCAGGACCCTTGCTCAGCAACAGAGCATCTAACCCAGCGCAAGGCCCTTGGGAGCACCAGGCCAGGTCCCATTCCCATGAACCCGGCCTTGCTGTCTGGCGCCCTAACGGACCCCAGGCCCCAAAACAGTGCCTGACACAGCACATACGCCCGAGGAAATACTTGCTGAGGAAATAAGGTATAGCCAGCGAGTGGGCAGTGGGCAGCACTCACCTGGTTCTTGCGGTAGTCCTCCTGGGAATGCCGCAGCACGCGGTAGCACAGGCGGAACATGTGCTGGTAGGGGGCGCTCTTCTGGTCAGACAGCTCCTCCAGCCGAACCAGGGGACCTTCACCCCCCTTCTCGCGGAACGGGGCCTTCAGAATGCCGAAGATCTGGGGGAACACAGAGGATGACGACTAATTGCCCCACACCCATCTGTACCCTTAAGTCATCCCACAAGCCCTGAGCCCCTGCTGACTCTGCCCCAAAGCCAGCCCGGACATCAGCCTTGAGCTGATTTTTTTTTTTTTTTTTTTTTTTTTTTGAGACAGATTCTTGCACTGTCACCCAGGCTATAGTGTAATTTCGTGATCTCGGCTCACTGCAATCTCCACCTTCTGGGTTCAAGCAATTCTCCTGCCTCAGCTTCCTGAGTAGCTGGGACTACAGGCATGCGCCACCACGCCCAGCGAATTTTTTTGTATTTTTAGTAGAGATGAGGTTTCACCATGTTGATCAGAATGGTCTCCATCTCCTGACCTCATGATCCGCCTGCCTTGGCCTCCCAAAGTGCTGGGATTACAGATGTGCACCACCGCACCCGGCACCTCAAGCTAATTCTAAGCTGGACCACAACCCCAGCCCAGCCATCCTCAGCCCCAGTTCCAGCCCCAGCTCTCGCCAACTCCTTGTTGGAATCCCTAAGCTAATCCTAGCCCATGCCTCCCTGATTTGGATTCTAATCCCAGCTCAGATCTGGGGTCTGGGGAAAGAGCAGAGGGTCACTACAGCTCAGGGTCTGAGGCTAAGAGAAAAGGGGGACCAGGCCGCTGTGGCCAAAGCTTAAGAGATGAAATGGGGGCCGGGCGCGGTGGTTCACGCCTATAATCCCAGCACTTTAGGAGGCCGAGGCAGGTGGATCACGAGGTCAAGAGATCAAGACCATCCTGGTCAACATGGTGAAACCCCGTCTCTACTAAAAATACAAAAAATTAGCTGGGCATGGTGGCACGTGCCTGTAATCCCACTACTCAGGAGGCTGAGGCAGGAGAATTGCCTGAACCCAGGAGGCAGAGGTTGCGGTGAGCCAAGATCACGCCATTGCACTCCAGACTGGGTAACAAGAGCAAAACTCTGTCTCAAAAAAAAAAAAAAAAAAAAAAAAGAGATGAGACACAGGCTTTCCTTGTCCAAGCAAAATGTTATATTAATTACAAAAATTGTTTAAAGGTGGGGGTTATGTGGAGAAGTGAAAGATTGTTCTGGAACAGAGACAGAGCAACAGAATCAAATGAAAAACCTTAATTGAATCCTCGTTTTTTTAAAAAAACAAGCTTTACAAAGACATTCTGGGAACATTAGAGAAATGTGCTATGGACTTGGTATTGCTAACATTTTCTTAGGTGTGATACTGTACTATGGTTACATAAGGCAATATCTCTATTGTTAGGGATGCATGCTGAAACTTTTGGGGGCAAAATGCTGCCTATTTTGAAATGTGTAGACGGCAAGATGGATGTGTGAATAGAACGACATAAAGCCAAGGCGGCAAAACAGCGACGCACCTTATTCCCTGTACTGTTCTTCTAATACGTTCTCACTATTTGATTCTCATAATACAAATTTAGAAAAAAGATGTGAAGCACAGCTCTGGACCTCACATCCTGAGCTCAAATCCTGGCTGCTGCTTCCTAGCTGGGAGTCCTAGGCCAAATGAGTCTGGCCCGTGTCTCAGCTTCCTCACCAGCAAAACGGGGTAAGAATCACAGCACCTCCTCCAGGCAGTGAGGATCAAATTTGTCAACACACGCGGGGCACTTAGGGAAGTGCCCGGCATGGGGTCGTGCCCGGTAAATACTGATTTTTGTTGAAGGGAGTGCTGAGCCGGCAGTTCAAGGCATCCCGCTCCTGGCCACCCGGCCCCGCCTCGTCCCCTCCTGAGTGCACACGCACCTGTTTGAGGATGTTCTGCTCCCTCATCAGCTTCTGCCGTTCCCTGTTGGGCTTGGTGACCATGATGTCCAGGACATTCTGCCCATTGTTGGGGACATCGCTGACAAAGAACACCAGGTCTTCAAGCAGCTGGATGACAAACCTGGGTGAGGGGGCCGGGGATGACAAGTGTGAGATGCCCACCCAACAGGTGCCCCTCATGGGGAGCCAGTCCCTCCTAAAGCTTGGCTTTCCTGAGTTCACTCAGCAGCCCCCAAGGCACAAAACCCATCCTCAGCCTACACTCCTCTCCCTGGCTTTCCCCTGAATGTTCTCCAAACAGGCCCAGCCCCACCCACCCTGGATTCCAAAGTGCCCCCAAGACACAGAGTCTCAGAACATTCCAGCCTGGAAGGGAAGTGCAGGGCACAAGGTGAGGAGTTTGGTGTGGAGGGGGCTGCATTTGCCTCCTGACTCTGCCACTTACTAGCTGTGTGACCCTGGGCAAGTCTCGTGACCTCCCTGAACCTCAGCCCCGTCATCAGTAAAGCAGGGCTAACTGGCCTCAAACCAGGCTCAGCACAGTGACCAGCTCCATCATAGGGGTACTTCTGGGAGTACCTGAGCTGTGAGGCGAGTCCCAACCCCAGGGTCCCAGGCTCAGCCAAGGCCCACAGGGCCAGCCCCTCCCTCTCTCTCCTGTCCCAGCCCAATTTGCCCGGCTTCTGCTTCATGACTCCTTTCTTCATGAAATCTAGGCCCTGGGAAGGCAAAATCACTCAGAAAACCTCTGTGCCACTGCGGCCCACCTGCGGTCATTCTGGCTGATGAAGCCCTCACTGAGTTTCTCCACGGCACTAGCCAGCATGGAGCTGGCGTCATTAGCAAAGTCCAGGTCTCGGATCTCGGACACGGGCACCGACACAATGGCAAAGGCCTCCTTGTCCTCCTTGGTGGGGCAGGTGCCCAGCTGCAGGGACAGGGGTCAGCAGGGCACCTGAGAACGAGCTCCAGCCCTGGCCCTGGCCCCAGCCCCACTCCCACCGCCACCCCTACCCCCAGGGACCCCCACCATGAGCCGGATGGGCCGCTCCTCCTCAACGTCAATGGGCACGTTGGTGCTCTGGATCCATGTGTTGGTGCAGAGGTGCCGCAGCCAGACTGAGGAGTTCCTGCAGGTGGTGGGAGGGTGGGGACTCAGGGAGTGCACCACGAAGCCTGTCCTGCTGCCTGCCGGCCTACCTCCCCAGCACTGTCACAGCTTCCGCACTACTCCACACCCTCCACAGCTGTGGGACAGAGGCCACTGGTGCCCCTCCAGGTGAGGAGGCCAAGGCCAGAGAAGAGCAGGCAGAGCTAGCCCTGCGCCCAGGCCCCGTCCTGGCCACTGCATTCACACGGGCCCCAGCCTTTTCCACACTTCCAGAACCGAAGATCTCTCGGGCACACGGTCAACTTGGGACCAAGATTCATTTGGACAAATGAGGCTATTTAACTATTTATCCCCTTGAATGTCAAGATGTACACATTTCATAGAAACACACGCATGACACAGAAATACTCAGTGTCTGTAATGACAAAATACAAGATTACCTTCTGAAATGAAAAACAATGTGAATACCAAATTCTTCTGTCTGTGAGTTTCAGGGAAGGGACTGTGGGCCTTTGTAGTGACTCAGTTAACTCTCCCGTTAGCCCTGTTAATAGGGAAACCTGACATTCCACTGAAAAGATGAGGCAGAATGAGCAGCGGCCTGACTGAGGTCACACAGCTTAGGAAATGCCAAAGGCAGGACTCGCACTGAGAAGTTTCTCGGGGTCTGTCCTAGGATCCCAGGATTGGCGGAATCTCAAAGGCCAGAGTCTGGCATCCCCACCCAGTGTTTGGGTTCCCCGTGCTGCTGTGTCCTGGATAAACTGTCATGCAGCCTGCGCTTGAGCACCCAGACCGACGGGCAGGAGCCGGGCACCTGGAGGTATGCAATGGTGGTCAGCTGCCGACAGACCTCAGAGCTGCATCCCCAGAGGGATGGGACCTGCAGAGACCCCAGAGGCCAAAGGACCTCAGGAGAGTGGAGGAGTACAGGATCCAGAGAGTCCCAGAGACAGGAGGGCCCAGCCTGAGCACCACCAGCCAACCCCCAGGCACACGGTGCATACCCACCGGGGCACCAAAGAGTCGGTTTTCTGCAATGTGGTGGGGTCCAGCTCAAAGAGAGAGGCGATGTCGTTGCCATGAGGCACGGCCACCAGGCGGTACTTGATCTTCTCCCCAGCATTCCTGCGGCCTGCACGACCCTGGGCCCCCTGGGTGAGGACCTCAGATCAGGTAGGAGGCCCTCTCTCCTCTCAGGCCCCTGAAACACCTAGGATCCCATCTGAGGGGCTGTCTCCCTCCAGCCCACCTCCCAGGATCTCATGGTATCCGCTGCCCCCGCCTACCCCCATGGCAGCCCCAGGTCTCACTGGAAACCTGCTTTGCTCCTCACCATTCCTGCTGCCTTGGGATCCGAGGCATCACCTTTGTAGCTGGGGTTCTCCTAGACAGAGATACAAGATGGTGGGGGGAGCTACTGGACACCAAACTATACCCACGCAACCCCACTGCAAAACATGGTCATCTACATAGGGCCCTAGGTTTGGGCAGGCGGCTTCTACCCTCCCAGGGGTGCCCATGTCATTCCAGGGTAGCCCTTCATGGCCCCTCCCATAGAACCACAAATGAACACACACACACCCCAATGCTCCCAACACACACAAATGTGTGCATTACAGACAGACAGGAAGTTTTGCTCACTCTGTATCCCCAATGCCTCAGATAGTGCCTGGCACATAGTAGAAGCACAGTGATATCTATTAGGCTTCTTCACAATCATGCCTTTATTTGATAATGTTGGTTAAATGCATGAGTGCAGAGAAGTCGGGGTCCATAGGCACATGTGCCACATATACAGATATGTGCACGAGTGCTCCTGCACACCCATGTGTACATGCATATAACATGAACCCCCAGGATGCCCTCTGCCTCCCGCTCACCTCGGCAGCCAGGTAGTTGCCCGTGGCTAGGTGCTTGAAGCGGTACAGGCCATTCCAGTGCCCAGCTCCTCCACGGCAGGGGTCGTGGTGGACCACCTGGGGACACGCAGGGGTGAGGCAGGAAGGAGGGACTGGTCAGGCAGGGGGAGCTCAGACCCCAGAGAGGCCTGGAGATCTCTGCATAGGTGGGTTCTAGACCCTCCCTGGCCTTTTGACTCTGGAGGGGCTCAGAGGGAGGTAGGGTCAATGTCCCACCCTCCAGGATGGTGGGGAAGAGGAAGGGGTGACATCCAGGGCTGAGTCCAGGGGGCCAGAAGCGGGGCTCTTCTGACCTCCACCTCCCAGAGAGCATTGGAGCTGGTGGCCGAGGTGGCAGACTGGCGCAGCGTAGTGCGCAGGAACACCTGCAGCTTGCCCTTGTACTCGTCACACGTCAGTAACTTCTCCTGCTCCGCATGGAACAACCGCACCACGTCTCCCTGCAGGCAGTGGGGTGTGGCTCAGGATGGCTGCAGCCCCTCCAGGCTCAAGGACCTGCCCAGGGCCCAGCCCCACCTGCCTCAAACACGAGTGGCTGCTGGCAGGACCACTCTTCCAGAGCCAGCAAACAGAGTGGGGGGATGCAAGCTGAGGCACCCCAGAGAACAGCCAGAGCCCAGGCACTCTGCCCTCAGCCCTCAGCCCAGAGCCCTCACAGGACTTCCCATGTTCAAACTCACCCTGGACGGCCTCCCTCCCTATCTATACCTCTAGACACCCTGCCTAACCTCTAACGGCCCATCTCCGGTCTCCCTCTCCATGAAGGAGAGGACCTCACACCCTCAGTGTCCTCGGGCTGTGGCTGCCCTTATTCCTGGGTCCTTTCTGCCTAACTATGGGTAGGTTGTGCCCATGTCTTTTGCTCCCATGCTGGACTGGAGCAGCAGCCTGGGAGGTGGGAAGGATGAGGGTGGGCGACTGGGGCAGCTTTAGCAGGGCAGGAGAGTCTATCAGAGCAGCTCGGCCGGGGGAGGAGAGCAAAGGGAACCACCGCAGGCTTCTGAGCAGGGAGGTGCATGAACACGCAGCCTCCTTAGGTGGCTGCTCTCGGGCCTCTCACCTGTCCCTCTGACAGGTTTCACTGCCAGGTGTTCCTGCCTGCTGCCCTACTGGAGAGCCTCACAATCTTTTGAGACAGAGTCTTGTTCTGTCGCCCAGGCTGGAGTGCAATGGCACAATCTTGGCTCACTGCAACCTCCGCCTCCCGGGTTCAAGCGATTCCCCTGCCTCAGTCTCCTGAGTAGTTGCGACTACAGGCACGTGTCACCATGTCCGGCTAATTTTTCGTATTTTAGTAGAAACGGGGTTTCACCATGTTGGCCAGGATGGTCTCAATCACCTGACCTCGTGATCCGCCAACCTCGGCCTCCCAAAGTGCTGAGAATACAGGTGTGAGCCTCCGTGCCCGGCCAGCCCTGCACTCTTTACAAATCTGCCTTCCCACAAGACCATTTACACCCCATCTGCTGGTTCCGTCCCCTGCAGCCCCACCTAAGAGACAACTGAACTCTCCTCTGTCGCCCACATCTGGTATTCAGGGTTTCTCGAATGGTCTCTCTGGTGGCCCCAGACAGCTCCTTCTGCCCTCAGTCCTGGACCTTCCCAAGTCTTTGCTGCAGTATTTCCCAGGCCCCCTTTCTCTCGCAGATCCCACACTAGCATGTCTGGGACCAGGAAGGACACAAGCAGTGACCCCTAACTCAGCAGACAGGGCAGCCTCACTCCCTTGCTGAAGAGGGCACAGGGCGAGGGGCAGGGGGCCTGGCGTGGATCCAGGCAGCAGGAGTCAGGGAGAGGATGGTGCTCAAAGGCTCTGGGTTGGGGGGATGGAGACCCCTAATCTGACACCCCTTAAACAAGAGAGAAAACATAGGCCAGGCAGGACACAGAGAGGATGGAAAAGGGGGCTGTGGCCAGAGATGAGAAAAGGGGAAGTCCTGGTAGGGCCATGTGGGTGGGGCCCGGAGGAGGTTGCGGGAGGCTGGAGGGCACAGAGCCAGGGAGAGGGAAAGGGCCTGAGGCCTGGTGGGTGGAGAAGGCTGGAAGAGGGCCCTGGTGGGGAGGGCCGGGTGGCTAACTGGGCAGGGCAGGGGTTCCAGTCCTTACCCCCTTCAACACCTCCTCCAGGTGGTCCCGGAACTGCATAAAGAGGTTGATCTTCCAGCTGGTGTTGCAGTTCACAGAGTTGACCTGGGAAAGGGGGACAGACCCATCATGCCAGGCAGGCCCCAGCCACTGAGGGCCCAGAGAGGAGCTGAAGGGAAGGACCAGCCTAGCCACCTTTACAGCACAAGGACAGGTGTAATCTCATAGCCAGGGTCCCCAGACCCCAGCCTGGCTGCCTTGGGGCCACCAGCCTGTGGGGTGGAGATTGGGGGCAGTGTTGGAAAATGGAGGCAGGAGCCGTGAGACCCAGGTTGTCCAGCGGGTCAGATGGGGCTAGAGGCAGAGACTATGGTGGGCAGCGGGGTGTCTACACCACCAGGGGTGTGTGGACGCCCCTGCACTGCACAGCTGACCCTCCACCCGCTCACCTCCTTGCAGCCGGCGTTGTCGCTGAGCTCGTAATTGCTGGCATGCAGAGGCTGCCCAGCGTTGACAGGATTCAGGATCACCTTGTCCCCCACAACCACCTGGGCAGACAGGCATGGCAGGTGAGGTGGGAAGGGCAGGGCCCTCCTGTCGCCACGCCTCCAGGCCTCCCTCTGGTCTCAGTCTGCCCTTCTAAGAATGGGCATGACCTTATCCAGTCTCCACAGCAAAGACCCTAGAGAAGTTCCTCCGAAGTTGTGCCCGGCACCTTCCACCAGGCCCCTCCAGCCCGGGCCCTGCCCTCACATTGTCCCCGTTGCTCCGCAGCTTCCAGAAGGGCTGGATGAAGAGCCAGGAGCCCTCGTTGCCCATGGCATCCAGGGTCACCCGCATGGCGTTCTTCTCCAGCAAGGCCGGAAGCCGCTTGTTCACCGTCAGGTACTTGTTGCTCTTCATGTGCAGGAGCTGGGGGTCAGGTGGGTGCGGAAGGTCACTGGGGGTCAGGTGGGTGCGGGAAGGTCACTGGGGGTCAGGTGGGTGCGGGAATGTCATTGGGGGTCAGGTGGGTGCGGGAAGGTCATGGGGCCCAGGGGCCGGCCCATCAGGGAGGGGACATGGGGGAATCCACTGGACCCTTGGTCACATCCTGGCTGCACACAGAGTGTCAGACACCTGTCACGAACTCACAGGCTGACACCCACAGCCACAGCCACACACAAACATGCACACAACAGGCACATCCCCATGGATACCCCAGTGATCACAGGAAAGAAACGGTTCTATGTACTTTACATAGATTAGCTCAAGTCACCTACAACTATCGAAGAGGGAAGTACTATTACTGCCTGATTTCACAGATGGGGAAACCGAGGCACCAGGGGACGTTTAGTAACTTGCCCAAGTTAACTCTGCCACCATTAAGAGTGGCAGAGCCAAGATCTGAATTCAGACAACGCAGCTCCAGACTCATGCTGATGACCACCATGCTGTCAACACACCCATGGCAAGGCTACTCAGGCCACACAGCAACAGGCATACACACAGTCAGACGCACAGCCACACAGCTGGTCCCAGGGCCACTCATTAGGATACACACATGCGCAGAGGGCACTGCCTGCTGGCAGCCCTCGCCCGGCACCAGCGCAGCCTCTTAGGCAGGGAGAGGGGTGGGTGGGAGAGGGCGGGCGGCCTCACCTGGATCACGCTGCCATACTTCACCACATCCCCGTGCACCTTCTTGTTCTCTGTGTCGTTTTGCTTCTGCTCCATCTGGGCGGCATGCTGGGCAGACACACAGAGGTGAAGGGCGGGCTCAGAAGCTGCTCCTAGAAGGAGACATACTCCAGGCCCACACATACACACGAACACAGTCACCTTGGACTCCAGGACTCCTGGGACTCCTGCCCCAGCTCCTGGTGCTGCACCCAGAGTGCTGCCCTCCAAGTGCAGATGGCAGCCTGAGGTCTCACATCATGCACAGCCCAAGGAGCCAAATCTCTACCCCCTCCCTGGCCAAATCCCCTGGATAGGGCATGCCAGCAGGACCCTGAGCACCCCCACAATCCCCTTACACCCCCAGGAACCTATAGCTGTGCCTCACCACCCACCTCCATCTCACCAGACTCCCAGTGCCCCAGACACGGAACCCTGTCCCAGTCCAAACCCTGGCAGGGGCTGCTTGGTGCCATTTCCTGGTTCCCTCCACCAGCCCCACTCCTCTTCGACCTTCCCTCCCAAAACTGTGTGCACTCAGCCCACTGCCTCCAGGCAGCCCACTCTGACTGATCATATCCCACTCTGATGAATCCAGTGCTGGTGGCTTTGAGGATTTGAGCTGCATCCCATTAGAGACAGCATTTTAGACTCTTCTGTCCTGTTAGACTGGAAGTTGCCTAACTCTAGGTGCCCTGTCTCCTCCACCAGATTAGGGGTTCCTGGACGGCAGGAGCCCTGTCCTTTCCATCACACTGGCACTCTCTGAGGGCAGTGGTCTCTGCCCTTTCCTCCTCAGTCCTTTACTGAGACCGGGGGGAGGGTGGCAGCTGGAGAGTCTTGCTATGGACCATGTGACTTTCCACAAAGCAACAGCATGTGGCTGTGTGACTGCTTGCAGTTCTGATTATGTGGTTCTGCACATGTGAATGCCCTCCCACCAGGCCAGATCCCTAGCTCAGCCTCCGCCTGCCAGCAGCAGGAAGGAAGCCTGTGGGAGCCCCCACCCCAGGAAGAGAGCTGGGGTAGTAATACCAGAGCTCAGGCAGCCCACCTACAGCTCCCTCCCTCCAGCCCAGTCCACAGCCATAAGGCATAGCCCAATGTCCCCATTCTAGACCCACCTCCTCCATGCATGGGGCTCAGGGGAAGGGGACAGAGGGAAGCAAGGTTTGTATGACAAGGGGTGGGACAGCAGGGCCCAGGGCCCTGGCTGCAAAGTTCCTGACCACAGTCAAAGCCTCCCACTCTCTTTGTGGTTCGGGGCCTGAGGTTGAGACCCCGACATCTGCCCAGGATGTGAACTGAGCCACTGCCCACAAGGGGCCCATGAGCGACCACATCCCAGCACCACAGCACGATCCACATGTCTGAGGAAGCCAGGGAGAGTTAGAGACCTGGGGAAATCTAGGCTCTACTGCAGACAGACTCACAGCATGACTGGTCAGGCCAGTCCCGTCTAAGGGCCCCAGCTCCAACTCCATAAAACAAGGGGAGAGGGTAAGACTATATCCAGGGCTCCCAAATTGGGTTCCTTGGAGCCACTGACTCTAGGAACCACTGGGAACTCCATGGGCAGCTGCACAGGTTGTTCACTGCTCTAGGTGTCAACATTCCACTCTCTGAGCCATGCACTCTGGCATGGGGCTGTGCCAGCCTGGAGGAGGGGGCACTTTCTTCTCATTGACACAACAGAGTTATACAGACCGGTGGTCACTGGGAAAGGAGCCTAACCCCACACACATCCCCTCCTTCACAGCAACTCACACCAATCTCTTGCATCTTGGAATTTTAATTTTTTATTAATTTTTTGTAGAGATAGGGTCTTGCTATGTTGTCCAGGCTGCTCTCGAACTCCTGACCTCAAGAAATCTCCCTGCCTCAGCCTCCCAAAATGCTGGGATTACGGGTGTGAACTGCCACGCCCAGCTCAGTTTTGGAAACCGCTCAGCTCAGCCACAGAGCCCCTACTGGTTCTGGCAGTGGCCCTGCATGTGCACCGAGACTCCTGGCACATGCGCACAGATGCACGCCTCACACACACATACCTGTAGCTTCTGCAGCAACACCACGTCGGCAATCTCCTTGTCCTGCTTGGTCTGCTTGGCCTTCCAGTACTGCTGGGAGTTCATGGGGCACACCTTGAAGAGGCAGTTTGTGGTGGGGCAGGAGGCGGGTGAGGGGAATGGTTCATCTGGGGCTCAGGGCCCTCCCTGGAAAAAACCCCAGCCTGCAGCTCTGCTCTCCCAACCCCTTCCCACCCGCCTTCCCCACTGCAGGTAAAGAGGAAGTGGTTGGAAGAACCTCATAGAATTTGCAGCATCCTGGATTATGCTGAGTAGAATGGGGAGGCTCAGAGGCAGGTTTGAGAGCAGTGCCTCTCACTTGGTGGGGTGGGCATGTACCCTCTTTTCCTGGGAGATTTACCAGAGGCTGCTAGAGCCTCCCCATTATGCCCTGTCTGTGCCTAGCTTTTGTGAGTATTGGCAGCCAACAGCCCACATCTGCATCCTTCTTTAGCTAATTGCCTTGGTGGATAGAAACCATCTTGCACACAGATGCCTGGGAAATTACATACCCCTCTCCCCAGGGGAAGCCCCTGTCCAGTGACTGACGTAGGTGTAGAACAGTCCAGCCTCTGGAGGGGACTGTCCGAGGGGCAGCTCACAGTCCCAAGCTCCCCGTGGGGTCAGGCTGAGGCGCATCTTCCCCTGAAACCACATCCTTGCTCAGCTTCTTCCCCTGCCCTATACAGAGAGGAAGAGGCTCCCTCACTGTGTTCTCCTGAGGACTTCCTCAATAATCCACCCATCTTAGGCTTTGCTTCTAGGAATCTGACCTAAGACAAAGCAAATCCAAGTCCAGAAACATGTCCTCTAGTACAATTTTTACTTCGGCAAGTAGATAAAACAACTGTCGTTCCCATAAGCCTGAGCTGCAGGAAGGGTGTCCGATTTTTCTGCTTATCAAAAGGAGGCATGAGTTGGAAAAGCCTATTCGAAAGCCTGTGGGGAGGGGAGGGAGGATTCTGGGTGCTGGTGAGGGGCTGGTGTGGATGACGGGGCCTGTGTGACAGTAGCCTGGGCTGGGCTGGGAAGCAGTGAGCTCCCCGTCACAGGAGGGATCCACAGACCGGGCAAGGAGCAGGACTCAGTGGCCCTGAGATCCCTCGCATGCCGCAGCTGTGTGAGCCCCTGATGGCACAATGCTCTGGCAGTATGGAACAGAAGGGAGACGGCTGGGCTGGGAGACTGGAGGGGACCAATGGAGGGTCCCAGAAACAAAACCCCTTTTTCAGGTCCTTTCCTGTTCCCTCTAAGAAAGCTGTGTCTTTTTTTCTGGTCAAAGCTGGTGAACCAGTCCCAGGGAGCAAAGAAAAACTGGATATTCCACCCAGCTTATAAGGAGGCAAAGGCCCCATGGGACCATCAGGAGTAGAAACTGAGTGAACCAAAGATCAAGGAAGACAGAATTTCCTAGAAAGGAAGGGAAAAAATGGCAATTCCACAAGCAGATGGAGCCACCAAGGGTCGCCCCAACTAGCGCTGCTCAGCCCTGCCAGCATGAGTGGACATCACTTCTGAAAGAGCACCCAGTTTGTTGGAGAGGGTGTCTTTTTTTTTTTAGACACAGTCTCACTCTGTAGCCCAGACTGAAGTGCAGTGGTGCAATCTCAGCTCACTGCAACCTCCAGCTCCCAGGTTCAAGCAATTCTCCTGCCTCAGCCTCCTGAGTAGCTGGGATTACAGGCATGCACACCGAGCCTGGCGAATTTTTGTATTTTTAGTAGAGACATGGTTTCACCATATTTCCCAGGCTGGTCTCAAACTCTTGGCCTCAAATGATCTGTCCAACTTGGCCTCCAAAAGTGCTGGGATTACAGGTATGAGCCACCGCACTGGGCTGAGAGTGTGTCTTTATGGGCTCGGCTCAGCCCTCAGGAGGCAGCTGGGTCTCCTGCTTCTTCCAAGGGTTGAACCTTGGGTTGGCACTCCCGGTTCCCGATTTCATTTTGAGAATCTCACTGCCTTGTTAGAGGCAGACGGTTCCCAACAGAGTGGTGGGAAATGGGGCCACACCAGGGAATGTTCCAGAAATTCAGTGGGCAGGGAGTGATTTGGGTTGTACCTCTGATTGTCACAGTGGCACTAAGTGAGCAGAACAGGGATGCTGGATGCCTGCACCATGGAGATTGTCCTGGGTGATGCCTGATTGCAAATGTCTTGCCCACACACGTAGGTGAACATCTGTGGGTAGTGTTCTGGGCCTAGAGTTATACACAGAGGAACAAATTTTTTTTGCATGCATTTTAGCAAACACTGAATTTTCCAGGAATGCAGCTCCACTATAAACCAAGGGAAAGCTGTCCTTTGTGTTGTCCAAATTTTCCCAGGAGTTTTCTGCTATTTCAGAAAATACATCACTCATGGCCACACCAAATGGGTGCATGTGTGGCTGCCACATTCATGATTTAAAGGCAAGTGGTCTGGGCGCAGTGGCTCACGCCTGTAACTCTAACACTATGAGAAGCTGAGGAGGGAGGATCACTTGAGGCCAGGAGTTCGAGACTGGCCTAGGCAACATGGTGAAATCTCGTCTGTACAAAAAAAATTTTTTTTAATAAAAAATTATCAGCCAGGTGCAGTGGCTCACTCCTGTAATCCCAGCACTTTGGGAAGCCAAGGCAGGCAAATCACGATGTCAAAAGATCGAGACCATCCAGGCCAACATGGTGAAACCCCATCTCTACTAAAAACTACAAAAAATTAGCTGGGCATGGTAGCGCATGCCTGTAGTTCCAGCTACTCGGGAGGCTGATGCAGGAGAATTGCTTGAACCCTGGAGGCGGAGGTTGCAGTTAGCCGAGATTGAGCTATTGCACTCCAGCCTGTCGCCTGGTGACAGAGTGAGACTCTGTCTCAAAAAAAAAAATTATCAACAGGCAGCAAGTGATGGAAAAACTAAAAATAATTTATAAAAAATAAAAAATTAGCTGGGCATGGTGGCTCATGCCTGTAACCCCAGTACTTTGGGGGGCCAGGCAGGTGGATCACTTGACGTCAGGAGTTTGAGGCCAGCCTGGCCAACATGGTGAAACCCCATCTCTAAAAAAAAAAGTGCAACTTGGCCAGGCATGGTGGTGTGTACCTGTAATCCCAGTTGCTCAAGAGATTGAGACAGGAGGATCGTTTGAGCCGGGAGCTCAAGACCAGCCTTGGCAATATAGTGAGACCTTGTCTCAACTAAAATTCGAAAAAGTTAGTGTGACCTAGTGGTATATGACTGTAATCCCAGTTACTTGGAGGACTGAGGCAGAAGAATCGCTTGAGCCCGGGAAGTCAAGGCTGCAGTGAGCCCTAATCTAGCCACTGCACTCCAGCCTGGTGACAGAGCGAGACTTCCTGTATAAAAAAATAAATTTTTTTTTTTTTTTTTGTGGTGGAGTCTCACTCTGTCACCAGGCTGGAGTGCAGTGGTTCGATCTTGGCTAACTGCAACCTCCACTTCCCGGTTCAAGTGATTCTCCTGCCTCAGCCTCCCAAGTAGCTGGGATTACACGTCCGGCTAATTTTTGTATTTTTAGTAGAGACGGGGTTTCGCCATGTGAGGCCAGGATGGTATCGATCTCTTGACCTCATGATCCACCTGCTTCAGCCACTCAAAGTGCTGAGATTACAGGTGTGAGCCGCTGAACCTGGTCAAAATATTTTTTTTAAGTTATTTTCCTTTCTTCTCTCTTTTTTGCCACACTTAGGACATTAAACTAGTTCATTCCCTCCGGCTAGCTCCAGGCTCACTCAGACCCTGGGTCTAGACCGCCACCATTTTGCGTTACATAAATATGGATATGGATAAAGTATATTATTTATGAATTCCGCTGTGTTTTTTGCCACCCTCACCAGACTCACAGGTGGGCAGGTGGGCAGGGCCTGGTTGAGCTCATCACTGTTCCCCAGCCCTAACCTGGGACTCAGCAAGCATCTGCCTGCTGAATACATCAGCCCAGAAAGGACTTCCTCCTGTATGAGGAGGTGGGGTTTGATTTAGCCTTGGAGAGAGGAAAAGGTTATGAGGCACACAACTGGAGGAAAGGGCAGGAGGTGGGAGAGGATATGGTGCCTCTGGGAACAGGACAGAGGTCCCTCTTGGCAGGGGCAGGGAGCTCATACAAGAAAGAGGGCCAGGCGGGGGAGGTGCTGAGCTGAGGCCAGAGGGGCTGAGAGGTACGGAGCCCTGTGTCTGAGTCCACAGGTCCTGCGGCTTGTCAGCTACTCAGTCTCCACATGGCCCACCAGCCCCTTTGACCCCTAGTCCAGACAGGAGAAAAGGCAAAAAGTGACAGGTACAGCCCCAGGTCACCCTAGAGCAGGGGTCTCAAGCTTTTCCAACCTTGACTAATTTAAGGAATACAACTTAGATCACCACTGCTTAAAACAGCATGGGGACTCCCCACTCCTGGTCATGGCATGAGGCTCCAGGTCCAACAGTGCTGAGAACCATGATGACCACCAATCAGGACCAACCCAAACAGAAAGCAACTAAAACAACAAGAGTTTTTAAGTGTGTGGTGTGTGGCCAGGCGCGGTGGCTCACGCCTGCAATCCCAGCACTTTGGGAGGCCAAGGCGGGCAGAACATGAGATCGGGAGTTTGAGATCAGCCTGGCCAACATGGTGAAACCCCATCTCTACTAAAAATACAAATATTAGTCTGGTGTGGTGGCGGGCGCCGGTAATCCTAGCTACTCAGGAGGCCAAGGCAGGAGAATTGCTTGAACCTGGGAGGAGGAGGTTGCAGTGAGCTGAGATTGAGCCACTGCACTCCAGCCTGGGTGACAGAGCAACACTCAGTCTCACCAAAAAAAAAAAAAAAAAAGAAAGAAAAGAAAGAAATATATGTTGTGCTAAGACTTCTTAAAGAATTGATAAGACAGTGAAGAATTAACCAGCCAGAAGAGAAGATCGAAAGGGAAACAAGAGATCTAGAAACAACCAGCTACTTTTGCCCTGAGGTGACCCTGATTCCAGGAAGCATGGACTCTTATTTTGACAGCTTCTTCAGGTGGAAGGGTCAGAGATCCAAGCCCAGGCCCGCAGAAGGTGAGGGGTCAACAGGAGACCAGGACCCTAAAGGGCTTCAGCCTCAGTCAAGTGCTGAACCCACAGTAGAACAGCTTCTACCAGGAGCTAAAGATACCAGCTGGAATCCCCCAGTAACCCCAAACTTGAGCTGGGCTTCAAGTGGGCTTGAACTGGTGAAACTCCCCTAGGAATCTGGCAGTAGGAGCAGCCGGGCCTTCCTGGAGGAAGGTGCCTTCATTCTAGACTCAAACCAGACTTTATAATTGCAATAACCGGTATATGCTCACAGAGAAGCAGGAATCCTTGGGAACCAGACACCACGAGGGAGAACAAGCCCACAAAACACGCTAAAAACAGACACGCGCAGAGACTTCAGATGCAGATATCACCCAGAAAACAGATGTCTTCTCTGCTTCAATCAATAAAAAAAGCTTGAAGATCCCGGCAGCGAACAGAAAAAGATAAAAAATGACACAGCAGATTGAAAAAAGGAATGAAGTAGAACTTTTAGAAATAAAAATAGTTGCAGTAACCAAAATTTTAAACTCACTGGACATATTTAACCAGAGCTGAAGAAAGAATTAATGAAACCATAACAGCCCCTATAGGGTGGATGCATTCCAATTCTATCCTATCCATTTCTGTCAATGATGGCTGAGCCCATTCAAGTGACTTCACAGCCCACTAGAAGGTCAGAGCCTGTGTCTGCATGACATGCACTGCCCTGAAGCATCCTAGGAGAGGAATGAAGTCAGAAATGGGCCCTCCCTGCTCCCGACTCCTCTATATCTTTCTTGGAAACTTAATACCTGGAACTTGTGAGATTCCACTTTTTCCCTCACATGCCAGAAGACGCCGAGTGAATGAATAAACAAATGAGTAGACTCGAGGCCTGTCACCACACACATTCCATGCTTGCTCCTTGCCCAGAGACAGCCTTGTCAGAACCCTGACAGGGCCTGAACCTTCCTTGTCACTAAACCACAGGGCTAAAGGGCAGAGACGGGCAGGGTGGGCAGGGAGCCAGGAGACTGGGCTCACACAGGAGCTGCAGCATCAAAGACATGAGAAAAGGCGGAGGGACCAGGGAGGTTTCCTAAAGCAAGGATCGTGTGTCCCGGCATGTGTATCTGTGGATGACGGGGCACAGGGCTGGTGAGACTGCAGACAAGAGGGTATTCATTTATTAAATAAGGTCAGTCAACATAGGTCAGCACTATCTCGGCTCACCACAACCTCCGCCTCCTGGGTTCAGGCAATTCTCCTGCCTCAGCCTCCTCTGTAGCTGGGATTACAGGCACACGCCACCGTGCCCAGCTAATTTTTTGTATTTTTATTAGAGACGGGGTTTCACCATGTTGACCAGGATGGTCTCCATCTCTTGACCTCGTGATCCACCCTCCTCAGCCTCCCAAAGTGCTGGGATTACAGGCATGAACCACCTCGCCTGGCCAAAAAATACAAAATATTTAGCCAGGTGTGGTGATGCATGCCTGTGGTTCCAGCTAATTGGGAGGCTGAGATGGTACAATTGCTTGAGCCCAGGAGTTTGAGGCTGCAGTGAGCCGTAATCGTGCCACTGCACTCCAGCTTGGGCAACAGAGTGAGACCCTGTATTGAAAAACAAAACAAAACAAAACAAAAAAGCCTGTTGGGGCGAGGGGGCTGGGAACCTGCACCTGGGTTCTCAGGTTCAAAAGAAGCTGAGCTGCAGGCAATCAGTCACAGAAACCCAGCTAGGGCAGGGAATGTTCACAGCCGTACTCCCAACAGCTTCTCAGCAGAGATTTGTTGGCCAGGTGCAGTGGCTCACGCTTGTAATCCCAGCACTTTAGGAGGCTGGGGGGTTATAGTGGGCAGGGGGTGGTGGATCACCTGAGGTCAGGAGTTCGAGACCAGCCTGGCCAACATGGCAAAACCCTGTCTATAATAAAAATACAAAATGGCCTGGTGCAGTGGCTCATGCATGTAACCCTTACACTTTGGGAGGCCAAGGCGGGTGAATCACCTGAAGTCAGAAGCTCGAGACTGGCCTGGCCAACATGGTGAAACCCTGTCTTTACTAAAAATACAAAAATTTAGCCCATGTTGTGCTGGGCACCTGTAATCCCAGCTACTTGGGAGGCTGAGGCAAGAGAATTGCTTGAACCTGGGAGGCGGAGGTTGCAGTGACCCAAGATTGTACCACTGCACTCCAGCCTGGGAGACAAGAGCAAAACTCCATCTCAAAAAAAAAAAATTAGCTGCCTATAATTGGGAGGCTGAGGCAGGAGCATCGCTTGAATCTGGGAGGTGGAGGTTGCAGTGAGCTGAGATCATGCCATTGCACATCAGCCTTGGCAACAAGAGCAAAACTCGGTCTAAATAAATAAATAAATAAATAAAGCTGGGCACAGTGGCTCACACTTGTAACCCCAGCACTTTGGGAGGTCAAGGCGGGCAGATCACAAGGTCAGGAGTTCGAGACCAGCCTGTCCAATATGGCGAAACCCCATTTCTAGTAAAAAATACGAATATTAGCCAGACGTGGTGGTGCACTCCTGTAGTCCCAGCTACTCTGGGAGGCTGAGGTAGGAGAATTGCTTGAACCCGGGAGGCAAAGGTTGCAATGAGCCCAGATGGTGCCACTGCATTCCAACCTGGGTGACAGTGTCAGACTCCATTGCTAAATAAATAAATTAATTAATTAAATTAAATAAATAGTCCGGGCACGATGGCTCACGCCTGTAATCCCAGCACTTGGGAGGCCGAGGTGGGTGGATCACGAGGTCAAGAGATTGAGACCATCCTGGTCAACTTGGTGAAACCCCGTCTCTACTAAAATTACAAAAAATTAGCTGGGCATGGTGGCGTGTACCTGTAATCCCAGCTACTTAAGAGGCTGAGGCAGGAGAATTATCTGAACCCAGGAGGTGGAGGTTGCGGTGAGCTGAGATCACGCCATTGCACTCCAGCCTGGGTAACAAGAGCGAAACTCCATCTCAAAAAAAATAATAAAAATAAAAATAAATAAATAAAATACATAAAATAAAAATACAAAAAATTAGCCGGGCATAGTGGCAGGCACCTGTAATCTCAGCTACTCAGGAGGCTGAAGCAGGAGAATCATTTGAACCCAGCAAGCAGAGGTTGCAGTGAGCCAAGATTACTCCACTGCACTCCAGCCTGGGCAACAAGAGTGAAACTCCATCTCAAAAAGTAAAAATAAAAAAATGGAGATTTGCTGACTGTGAGGAGTAGGGCATGTTGGGGAAGGGTAGGGATCTGCCCTGGTCCCTGCCCCTTGCTCCT